TCCGCTGTATGCCTCGGCTCGTTATCTTATTGAAAGTAGTAGTCACTTTCTTTACCCAATTCTTTAGCGATTTGCTTCAAATTTATTTTCCAAACAGTAAGATATGCATATTTGTCCATAGTGGACTCTATAAATTCCATTCTGCTCACAGCATTACTGGCCATGCACACCCATATCATTGCTCCACCACCACCATGCTTCACAGTGGGCACCAAGTTTTTCTTATCGAGAGCCGTTCCTAGTTTTCGCCTACAATGTTATGCCCCTTGCTCTTGTCTGAAATAATAAAATTCTGCCAGAGCTCCCGGGGCTTATTTAAGTGCTCCTTCGGAAAAGCAATACGTTTCGGCCTATTGACTCGCGATATGAATGGCTTTTTGCGTGCAACATGGCGGTGATACCCTACTTTTTTTTTAAATTTCGCGGATTTTGTCAGCGCAGAGGATCTTCTCGAAATTTTCCTTAAAATTTTGGGGAATTTTTGGGTGCTGAAAGTCGGCGGTTTTGCTTCACACTCATCTTCAGCTTTGAAAGTCTGCGATGCAGTACCCGCCGGTCGAAGCAGAGGAACGGGAAGAACGCCACTCCGTTGAAACGACCAGGTAAGGAACGACGTGGCTGTACTTGGTATCTCCAATTGACGTCAAATAGGAAAAAAATAAATAAATAAAAGGCGCAATATCATAAATTCGACTATAGTCGCTAAAGCGACGTCTGCGCTGGACGCTTTCCTAATTTTGCTGCTATGTAATGTAGGCCTTGTTTAATTTAGGATAAAGTACTGGAACGTTTTGGAGTACACTGAGTCTGTGTAGGAGTTGTAAGGCTATACACACTTCTGACTCATTGACTCATGCATTTTCGTCATGCACTCTGTAAACATGAAAAACGCTGGGGTGTAATGCAGTAGTCAACAACTGTCGAACCGCGGTCCGCTAAAGGAGAAAAGCTTTATCAGAGCGACTCCTATGTATTCCCTGTAAAGATTAACTGTAGTCTTTTTGCTGCAAGCACACGCCAGTATTGAGGTAATCGGCTTGCTTTATGTCCTATGTGTCCTAAATTTAAGCTTTTTTCTGCGACATGTACTTTGGGCTTGTCATCTGTCACATAGAAAAAATCTTAAAAAACTTCAGATTACAGCCATCATCTTCTATGACAGGCCTTGCAAAGGTATTAAGAACCACTATTTAAGTTTAATTAAAAAGTCCTGAGGTAAGTTAGCTTGTGTCCCCATTTCACTAAAAGCTGACATAGCCGTCGTTCCAAAATATGAAGAGCGTAAATTTGGTATCTGGTAGGTGGTTAGATATTCAGTTGACGAAAAGAGAAGGACGATGTGAGTAAAGACGCTTTCTATACAGACTAAAATGTATTGTAACTACGGGCGATACCCCTGGCACGATGTCCATATAATTCTTAGTGCCTTTAAGGCCAGGTTGAAAAGAAGAAATCTTTGTGATAAAACATTTTCAATTGAGTTCAGGCTCTTTGACTTTGCTAGGCTCCGAAATATGATTATTTATAGCACCAGATTCCAGCGAAAGAGAATTTATAAAGCTTGTTGACTGACTCCGGAACGAAAAACTCGCAACCAGTTTGATCGTATTGTGGTAAATGAAGCAAATTGCTCCCCAGCTCTGAATTCGGTGCTTGACGGCAGCTATTTCAATTGAAACCTCCTGTAAGAAAGTTAAGTTGCTCAAAAATTCACCTTTTCAGTTGAAATTCGAAGGCTTTAAACTATCACATACAATATTTTTTTTTCTACGGGAACTCGAGCTCAAAGTAAGTAGTAAAGTTTTCAAAAGCAAGCATGTAAAATAAAAAATTCCCACTTAAAGTCTATCATGTAACTTTACAAGGGAAGAGTATTATTCAAACACCGCCCGAAAGAGAGAGAAAGGAAAGCAAAAAAAAAAATTGAAAAACTGTGAAGCTGTGAAGCAAAGTTACAAAGACGTGCAAAAGGAATTCGCAAAACAATGCCAGGTTTCGTAAAGCCTGTATTTTGCACAAAGCAACGCAAAGACCCTCACCAATACTCCACTCCTTTTCCTTTCCTTCTGCTCAACCGCATCATCCTTAACTACGTCCCCAAGTCACGTGATTGAACAAAATTAAAATTCTGTCCAAGCAACCGTTAGCAAAGCTGCCATTCATCGACAGCCATCAGGTAGCGAGCATCAAAGTAAATTCAAGAATACAAAAACAAGGAGAGGGTGAAGCAACCTAGAAACATTTGCTTCATAGCCAGCAGTTTGTAGAGGCGCATAGTAGAAAAGTAGATGGTGTGAAAAGTAAGCAAAACTAGTTTTTGATGAAGTTGGCAACACTTCGGAGGCGAGAATGTGCGTGACGTACGAGTGCATGCATACTTACGCGTGTAAAGCCTAGCCGCGAGATCAACTATGCACAAGAAGTCCATTTTTCGCAATCGAACTGAGCTTTAAATGGACGTGTGTTCTCAATCAAACTTTTGGTTCGCTGAAAGAGTCTATTCCTCTTTTTATGGATAGAAGAATGGTAACTTAAAATATAAAACATCTAAGATCTAATCGGTTAATGATTCGTAAGATATCTGCTCCCAATAGAAATCGAAAAAATATCCGCCCCTGCCAAATAATCAGCATTTGAGTAAAATCACTTTGAGGCTCTCGTTTTCAGAATGTAAAACAAAACGAAAATTCATTTCTACATTTTATATAAAAAGAAAACCTCTTATCTGTTATTCCACCCTCAAATATTTATAGAATAACATTCATTCAATACGAAGTGTCATAATCTCTCTCTATAAATGCTTCAGCAAATAAGAGAGTATGTTGTTGGTGTGTATTATAATATCATCATTACATATGTACGCAAAAATACTGTACTAATTGCATTTTTATTTTCTTGTAGGGTATGTAGAAAGAATTGAATAAAAACGTAAACAGATTATTACATTGTGTTCGCTTAAACGCTGAAGTATTTTCATATCAGCTCGAATGTATACATGCATGCTTACAAAACAGATATATATGCACGTATGTATATTCTCATTAGCAAACAATACTGCTGACATATACTCAATCTAGTATGTCAACATACATACATACATCCATACATATGTGTGTCTAATTAATTAAACAACAAATTATAAATAAAAATAAGAAATGAGCTGAAAAGCTGAATTAATTAAAAAATATTAAAACTATAATAAATATATTCAATCAAAGGAAACGAACTTATCAAATTATATAATATAATATAAAACAATAAAATAGTATAAAAGAAAAACATATTAAAACGAAATAAAATAAAATAAAATAACATTAAAATTAATCATTAAATATAACAAAATGCAATAAAAAAATTAAATAGTACATAAATAAAACAAAAAGAAATGAAATAAAATAAATAACAAAATAGATTAAAATACAATAGAATTGAATAATATAAAATGATATTTTGTTTCATAAGGTAAAATAAAATAAAAAAATATAAAAATTAAATAGAATGAAATATAATAAAATGAATTGAAAGAAAATTAAAAAAATACAATGCCATAAAAAAAGCATTAAATAAAAAGAACAAAAACAAAATAAAAAAATTAAAATAAAATAAAATAGATAAAGATAAAATAAAGTAAAATGAAATAAAACAAAATATAGTAAAATTAAATTAAAATAAATAAAGTAAATTAAAATAAATTGAAATAAATTAAAAAATTAAATAAAAGAAAATAAATAAAATGAAATGAAATGAAATGAAGTAAAATCAAATTAAATGAAAAAATTAAAATGCCATAAAAAAGAAAACAAAACACAAATTAAAAAAATTTAATATTAAAAAAAAAATTAAAATAAAGTTAAATCAAATGAAACAAAGTATAATAAAAAAAAATAAAAAAAAAATAAAATAAATTAAAATTTATTGAAATAAAATAAAACAAAAAATAAAATTAAAATAAATGAAATAAATAAAAAAACTTTAATTAAACATTATAAAGTTAAATAAAAAATTACAAAAACTGAATTAATATCATATGAAAAAATAAAGTAAAAAGATTAAAACAAAGAAATAAAAATATAATATAAAGAAAATAAAATATATTAAAGTAAAATAAAATAGAACGAAATAAAAAAAATGATATTTTGATTCATAAAATAACCAAATAAAATAAATTTAAAAAAAATCAATTAAATAAAAAAATTTAAATAAAACATTATAAAGTCAAATAAAAAATTGATAAGTAAAATCAGATGAAATGAAAAAAAATTAAATAAAATAATTCAAAATCAAATAAAGCGGAAAGAAATAAAATAAAGTAAAGCCAAATGAAACAAAATATGGTAAAATTAGATAAAATAATTTAGAATAAAATAAATTAAAATAAATTGAAATAAAATAAAAAAATATAATAATTTAAATTAAAGTAAAATAAAATAAAATAAAATTACATAAAATAAAATAAAGCAAAATAAAGTTAAATACAGTAAAATAAATTAAGGAAAATAAAATTAAATAAAAAGGAAGAATTGAATTATGTAAAATAAAATTATTTAAATAATTTGAAGTAATATAATTTCGATGATTTCCGAAACAACAGTCACTTTTACCAATTTTAGTTGCTGCAAAACAAAAATATTTAATTCATACAAGCAAATAGAGCACTAATATATAACAAATGAATAAAATAGTATAGGCGGTAAAAACTATTATGAAAAAATATTAAAATGAAATGGCATAAAGCTAATTAAAAAAAGTAAAAAAAAAACGTGAATAATAAACGCAAATATAACAAGAAACTAAAATCAAGTGAAATAATTAAATAAAATACAATATATAAATTTAAATAAAAAAAAAACTAAAATTAAACTTATGTATATAATTTAACAACCATATTTCATGCATATTTTTGAACCACCTTAGTACATAAACTCTGTATTTAAACATATCTACATATATACATGCGCATACATATGTGAATGCCAGCTGATTGAAAATGCTATTGTCGCCTCAGCAAATGCTAACCTTGCGAATGCATCGATCAGTTCCACTTTATAATTACAGGGAGAAAAATGGCTGCAACAATATTGACATTTTTGGCAATAACTGGAAAGTTTTGTGATGCAAATATGTGCGGTACAATAGAGCAATACTCCTATGTGACTCATGGCATTAATGAGGTGAATAAAATTTTGATTATTATTTCGCATAGACTTACATACAAACGTATACAGGGAAAATGTTATTTATTTATATTAAATACAATTTCTATCAACAGTTCCTTCAAACGAATTGTCAACAATCTTCTGCTATACAGATTTTACGAGCTGGCGCCAAATGTGATAGCATACCATTTCTATTGGAAATAGAATTTATTCGTCACCAGCCAGTTTGCTATATAAAATCAGACAAATATCCAAATCTAGAGCGACCGGAGTTAACTGAAGAAAAGAAGTTAAATGATGAAGGCGGTGAAGTTCTTATATTACTGTTTATATTTTTCGTTATATATGCAGTTTGTGATGAATCTAGCAGACGGTAGTGTATGGTATACTAACCACGATCCGCAAGGACGGGGATCTCTTACATTTTGAAAATATATTCCATACACATGTAAATATGTATTTCTCATATTGTAAAATACATTTTCAATACAAAACCAATTTGCATATTTTACATATAAATATAAATATATTTATCTCTTGCAAATTTGTATTCACTTTATATTTATTTTATGAATATATCGTAGTACATACAAATAGACATACAGGTAAACGTGCATATTTAAGGAACTTTCCTGTATGTATGTACATGCATTTATATATATATATAGATATATACATATATGTATGTAAATATAAAGGCAGCACACATAGAACGGGGAAAGAACCGATTTTAATTTTCTTAAGCTTTGTATCAGTATGACAATTGTTGAAGAGTTGCATTTGACAGAGTGTTCCAAATGCAAAAAAAAAAAATCTTCCTATATTTAAACTATATTTGTCAATAATAATCTTGAAAAAAGAACACAATACACAAAGTTATAAATTATATTCAAATAATAGAAGCTTTTATTTTTTTGGTTCATTATTTTTTCTCAAATAAATTAATAATTTGCTTTAAAAAAATTAATCACCAATTTGATAATAGGCAATTTTCAAAATAATTATTTATAACTAATATTTTTTAATGAATTTCTATACAAATTTTATAAATTAAATTTCAAAATTTTTCACACGTAACATGAAAATTTTCGGGGAACATTAATTTCAGTTTCGTAAATTAAGTTTAAGACACAATAAGTTATCAAAAATTTTCTTTGACAATCCAACGTACAAATCTTTTGTCAGCAAAATAAAGAAAAATAAAAACTGTTAGTCCAGCACGAGTAATTGGGAGTATAATTGGACTGCAACTTTTATGAATTTAAATTTTAAAAACTGCCCTGTAAGGAAAATTGTGCCAAAGCGGTTATTTAAATAACAGTTTCGCAAATAACAAACCTGTTTGATACGCCACGACTGAGATGTGTTCTCAGTTACGCTTTGTTGAAGGGCTCAAATTGAAGACCATCGCTTAATCGTTACCAAAGCGAAGTAATTAGACATTATCGATATAGCTCGTAAGGTTTTAGTTCGAGTCACGCTGCGAGTGAAATCATTTTTTGGTAAAGTATAAATTTTCACCATCACACCATTCGTCTTTTGTTGTTATTTTTAGTACGCCACGGCTGAGTTTCATTTCCAAATAAGCTCTGTTGAAGTGCGCAATGAGATATCTCTTTGCATAATAACGACAGCCTAGTGCTTATGAACTGGTATGCAACTAGTATGAAGCTGAGGCATGGCTGACCAAGTGAGAGTTCATGTGTCATCGCTGTGTTAAAAGTATAATTTGCTTATATGACAAATAGATTGAACATGAGTTTGTTAGCGCAAAAATTAAAACCAATTGAATTCTAGTTTATAGCTAGTATTTTTCATTGAAAGGTAAGTTTATGGCGGCCTCATGAAGAAAATGGAATTTTTTTAATAAGAAAATGCATAAAAAAGTATAATCTGAGCACAGTTCGCAATGACAGATGACACCTTTCATGTTAAGATTTATGTTTAAGTTAGTTTAATTAATATTATATTCTCGCTTCTTCCCTATTTGGCGTAAACACCGTATGTATTTTTACGTTAGAAAGTACCACGGTATACTAGTTAATAATAGAGTTCTGGACTGGAACCTCTATAGTTTCTCAATATTACTTGCGCAGATCATACCCCACAACACATTGCACAAGTACGATGGGTGAAATCAAAGAAGACGTTCCGTATTACTCTTTTGAAATAGGTACAATGTACCTGTCAACTTTGTGTACCAGATGCGCCGAGTACAAACCCAACAGCCAAATATTGGAAAAGACTTTAAAGCAGCCTTTGACAGCACGAGAAGGAGCTGCCTCTACACCACTTTATCTGATATTGTGATCCCCGAAAAACTTATACGGCTGTGAATAAACTGACGTTGAGCAGCACTAAAAGTTCCATCGGGATCGGGAAGTATTTTTGCAAGCTTTTTGATACCGAACAAAGTTTTTGACTTGTTTCCTTATTGTGCGACTGCTTTAATTTATTTCTGGAAAAAAATCTTCTATTAGAATATATATGTGCTGGCGTACGCCAATAATGTCGTCCTCGACAACCACCCCGTGAATTCTTATTTCTCCGGACTGGATAGAGAGGCGATACGAATGGATCTGGTACTGAACGAGGACAAGACGAAATATCTCTTGTTATCAACCAAATAGTCATCGCATTTGCGACTCGGCTCCCATGTCACTGTTGCCAGCCATTAGTTCGAGTTCGTAGATGATTTTCGTATATCTGGAGACTAGCATCAATACCAATAATAATTCCAGCTTTGAAATCCAGCGCAGTATCACTCTTGCCATTAGGTGATATTTTGGACTGAGTAGGCTATTGAAAAGTAAAATCTTCTCTCTGCGAGCGAAAATCAAACTCTACAAGTTCCTCGTCCCTCCTGTCCTGCTATATAGAGTATCTCAAGAGTCGGCGTTAGGAATTTCTGGATAAAAGGTTGTATGTAATATTTGTGATCCTCTACGAGTTGGGAACGAAATCGGAAAGCGAATCACCACACAGCGGCTACGCGAACTAAACATGTGGTCCGGATGATTAAGAAAAGTCCAGCTTTGAAAATTTTCCATGCAGTACCCGCCGGTGGAAGCAAAGGAAGAGAAAGACCTCCACTCCGTTGAAAAGACCTGGTAGAGAACGACCTGGCGGTACTTGATATTTCCAATCGGCGCCAGTCAGTGAAAAGAAGGAACGAATAGCGCAAACTGCTAACAACTTTAATTGGAAGGTTTTCTTTTAGGTAGATATTCAAACGGCAATGAATTATGTCAATACAAAGTCCAAATGCCTAGAAACATACTAAGAGGCAATTATAAGCTTATCGCGGGAAAACACAGTGAATATCTCTTGAATTTCAGGCTTTGCAGCGGCTTCAAATATTGTCTAAAGCAGTGGACCATGAAGAACACTTAAGGTCCTGGTATACTTCAACCGGTGGTCGTAGCATCAAATTGTTATGGGGTAGGGGTGATTGTACACAGATCAAACTGTTACTTACATTAAGAAAAGAGAACTTAGCATTGTAGTAGGTACATTAACGAGGCAACCACCCCTGAGATATCATTTCCTTAAGCTAGGTAAGGTGGAATAGACTGAGGGCAGAAGGTGCCGAAACTCTGGATCACTATATTTGCGCGTGTTCGGCCTTCAGCCTATTGAGGTGTCACATCTTTCACGGTGAATCTAGATCCAATCTTACGGAGATGAGCACACATATATGGAGGAAATTAAACAAGTCTATTATTATATACCAAGTGAAATGTTCGCAAAAGTGTGGCTATGTTATGCGGGAGAGCACAATGAGCCTGCTCTATGGCTTCAGTGTGGCCGTCAGTGTATGGCTATCAGTTCTTCAACCTCATCTTTTAACCAAACAACCAGCCGTTGGATTTACAAATGAATATTATGACATTTCTAACCAAAGTATGTATATCGCTTTTTTCCTCTCTCAGAGCAAATCGTTTGATATTTAGCAGTGGTGACGACCATCGTACGAAGTATACAGAAATTAATGTAAATTATTTATTTTACAAATTATTTCGATGTAAAGACCAGCAATGGTTTTGATTTTCATTTTTTTAAAGAACAAAAGCTCGTTTAAAAAACCTATGCCATTTAACACTTTTTAACAAAGAAATTTAAAAAATTGTTCAAATAAATGAAATGTAGATGAAAATATATAAAGAATTTAACGAAAAAGAAAGAGTCAACAAAGAGTGGCACCTTTTGCTAAGTGCTATCAAAGGAAACAGAAAATACTGAAACAAAATTAACACGAACACGGCAACAACTTCTCTGCTCAAATCAGCCTGATTCGCATTCGAAAACTTGACTTGGCCAGTCAATCACTTAAAATTCACAGTTTGCATTTATTTGCCTGAAATCGTTGATTTTTTGCTTGATATATTATTTTTATTTTATTTCCCTTTTTTGACTTTGCAACCTTTTTATTTACCGCTGGCTGCCGATCTAAGAGCAGCGCTGGCTACAATGTCAAATTAAATTATCTTTGACAAGGGTTGAATGAGGTCCATTTCAGCACAGACATCGTTATTACTACTTTTTCATTTCCTTAATGAATTTAATATTTGCTTCATTGTACAAGAAACTTTATGGCTAGGTCAGCCAGCAAATAGAAGAGAGACTCCGCCGACAGGTTTTCCAGTGTATGTATAAATATCAATTCACCATCCGTATTTATAGAAGATTTTTCAGTTTATCGCTTATTACGTTCCTATAGAACGGAGGGAGGCTGTATCCAAAAGATAACTCTTACCATAGCGAAATGCTTTTAAACGGGCTAAAACTGATCTACTTCACCCTGGTAGGAAAAATGATGTAAAGAAACTGTGGTAGGCCATCCTAAACTCCCGAGCTCCCAAGTTCTCAACGAAATTATTAGTTTTCAAAAAAGATCGAAAGAAATTTAGTTGCTATGGGAAACTTTTTCCTTGAGAATAAAGATTGCCTATCTCACAACATGGCTATTGATTACAAAAACATATGGGGAAAACACCGATGGTTGAAGATGGAAACGAGAAGTATTCTAAGGGGAAATATATTTAGGCGGGCATGTGAGAGTACGAATAGGATGTGAGGTTAGCCAACAGGAGTCGAATATATCATGAGAAACAGTGTCCACTTTAAGAAGGTTTCAAAACTCGAATATATTGATGGAGGGCGCAAGAAGAGTAACTCGCTGTCTATCGATGTGCTGAGTTTTGAAATTTCTGCTACGCAAATTCATGTCAATGGAAGAAAGTATATTTATTTGGAACAGCTCCACCTGAACTAGAAAAAACAACTAAGGTCTTTGTAGTACTTTGAGGAAGTAAATCAATGGATTCAAAAGTTTTTCTGTCATTTCGATATTTACGGAGCTGCACAGAATTTAAGTTGATTTTCATCGAATGCATGGAAAAGTTTGTTGTTTTCACTGTTTTGGATTGTACAAGTGCATACAGATTTGAATTGAAAAGGGAATATCTGACATGAAGACGTTGACTATATCAGTAAAG